GCATAAGGGCCTTCCCAATTTGGGGCGAGTTTGCCAAAACGAGTTTCAAATCCTGTTAGGCCAGCTTTTCTAAGAACAAGGTCTCCTACTTTGAAAGTTCGAGGGCGGACCCGTTTATTGTAGAAGTTAGCTAATTTCTGCTTGTATACAAGAGTTCGAAGTCGAGCTTCTTCTCTGACTTCAGCAAGCAGATCAAGATTTTCCCGAAGCAGTTGTCCATTTCGTCCTTTATCGAAATGGGTGACCTGGAAGCTTGGGACTCCTATCTCAACAGGAATGACTGCTTCGGTACCAAAGGCCAGGTGGTAGGGTGTTTCACCTATTTCAATTGATTAGAACTTTAGAATGCGCTTTATGCGTTATGCATATTTGTTCTAAGGTAAGGCGTAACAGAAGAAGTAGAATATTACAGAAATTAATCAAATAAACTCGGTTTAAAGTAGTACCTGTGGCAGTTCGGCTCGTGGTTCTGTATGCCCAGAGGACGTTGTTGAGCTCGTCTGCCCATTTGGCCTTATGCTGTTCCAATCTCGACTTTATACCTTCCAGAATGCATTTGTTAACAGATTCAACCATGCCGTTGGATTCTGGGTGATAAACGGAGGTGAACTGTAATTTGATCCCATAATTGGAGCAGAAATCTCGAAAAGAGGAGCAATTGAATTAAGTTCCATTATCAGCCACAATCTGGTTTGGGATCCCATATCTGCAGATGATCGAGCTGAAAACAAAATCTTCAACTTTCTTGGAGGTAAGACTAGATAAAGGCCGAGCTTCGACCCACTTTGTGAAATAATCCACACCAACAACCAGATGGGTTACGCCACCAACCCCTTTCACGAATGGACCCAAAAGATCTAATCCCCACTGTGCAAATGGCCGTGGTGCTACCAAGGTTGTGAGTTCTTCTGCAGGTTGGTGAGCCAGATGTGCGAAGAATTGGCACTTCGGACATTTCTGAACAAAGTGAGTGGCATCTTTGTACATGTTCGGCCTCTTTGTACATGTTCGGCCAGTAGTATCCTTGTCTTAAGACTTTGTGAGCCAGAGTTCTAGCACCTACATGGCTCCCACAGACACCCTCATGCACCTCTCGAAGTGCGTATTCAGCTTCATAGGGACTTAAACACCGTAGGAGAGGAAGTGAGAAAGATCTCTTATACAGGACTCCATTAACAAGTGTATACCGAGATGCTTTCTTCCTTAATTTCATTGCCTCTTGCCTATCCTCAGGCACTATCCCGTCTCGTAAGAAGGAGACAATTGAATCAGTCCAGCTTGGGGCATTAGGATTTGTGCTAATCTCCATCACTCGAGGCTTTGTGAAGCTTGGTTCATCTAAAACTTCTACAAAAACAGATCTGGAGCTTAAAGAGCTATCAGAGGCAAATTTGGAGAGTGAATCTGCCT